ATCATGGCCACCGTTTCCTCCTTGATGGCCGTTGTCGATGGGTCGTTGTTGCGCGAGCCACGTTGGTTGGGCGGTCCGTGAGCGACTTTGGGTCTTTGGCGGTGTGGTGGCTTGACTCAACCGAGACGGATGGAGCCCGAGCTTGGTTTACAATCTCCATGGTGCGGGGCCATAGCGACCCGTCCGATAGGCTTGTATTTCATCGCGAATCGCAGGGTGTTGGGTAGCCATTGCATTGTTTGGCGGGTGTTCTAAAGACCTGTTTGTCCCCAGCCGAAAGCATCATTGAGGTCATGGTTGCCATGTCGTGCTCTCCGTCTGCGCTTCGACGACGATTATTGGCAATATTGGAGTTTGTAGACTTTCTGTTTGTCCCAACCATGGCGGTTCGTCATTCGACAACATGGATCGATCCCCGTCTTGAGGAAAGATGGTGAGGACCCGGGCGTGGTCTAGGATATCCAGATCGTGACGCCTTCGCTTCGATTTGTGGACAAATGCATTAGATCGGTCAATATTTGCGCTTAACGGGATTAATAGGATACTCATGTAGTCCTTTCTTGAAGCCCATTCGCAAATAACTCCAAGGTGGCGGTTCGTCATTGCTTGAGCAACATGGATCGAATCCCCGTCTTGGCGGGAAAGATAGGAATTGTGAGAAACCCGGGCGTGGTCTGAGGGGATATCCTAGAGATCGTGATGTAAGCGGACGCCTTCATCTTCGTGATCGAGCCGACTCGTGGAAGCTCGGTGTGGACAAATGCATTAGATGCGGTGGTCACGGATGAAGAGACACTGGGGTCACCTCTTAACAGGATTTGGATACTCATACCAATAAGTTGAACGGATCCTTCTTGATAATCTTCAATCTGGATCATGTTGACGAAGTCGCGTGCGCGCAGTGAGGACAAAGTGTGCAGGTCGATGTTGGTCCATAAGATCTATATCAAGCAGGCTGTCGGATGTAAGCGGGCCCGGCCTCGGAGAGGGGCGCGATTTTTAAGAGTCGGGTCGCCTCTTGGACGTGGTGAACGGTTCTTGATAATCTTCAATCTGGATCGATGAAGTCGCTTCGCTTGACCGAGGTCGATGCATAAGACCAGATCAAGCAGCGTAAGCAGTGGCGAAGGCGTGGCCGGAGGCGACGGCAGCAGGCAGAGGAGTAGTTGCCGTCGAGGAGTAGAGCCGAAGTGACCACGAGATCTTGAGGAGTAGATGTGCGAGATCGTACCAAGTCGCAGACGACCGTCCGAACTGGTCGGGTAGATCTGTTGTGGGGAGTGGTTACCGCTCATTAGGTGACTTTGAATCGTATTTTACCGAGCCGTGGTTTGATGAGCTTGGTGCCGACCCGATCGATGGAGTCGAGTAGGTCGGTGTTGTCGATCCGCCTCCCTTTGTAGCGGGGAAGCGGATGACAAGTTGTCGGCGTGGCTGAAGGTGATGCAGGCGTGGTCGGAGCCAGATGTACCGTGGTCGGAGCCGTATCCATCGTGGTCGGAGCCATGTCCACCGTGGTCGGAACCGTATCCACTGTGGTCGGAGCCGTAGCCAATGTAGGTGAAGCAGTGGTCGACGCAGACTGAATCCACGCCTCCTCCGGGGTCATGGCGATGAAGTCGCCGAGCCGGTGGTCCAGGTGATCTGGCCAACGGTGAACGTGAGGCCGTTCGGCGTAGCCATGGAGCCGGAGATGATGACCGTCTTGTTTGCTTGGGAAGCAGTACGCACACCCCCTATCTGGCGTGTCACTGTTGACGAAATATGGTCGGCAGTCTACCTAGGGGTATACGCAAGGTAGTAGATTGTCGGCAGACAGATGCGCAAGCTACAAACAAGACGGTGACGTAAGACAGACACAAGGTTTTATCCAGGTTCGGCCGCCAAGAAGGCGTAATACCTACGTCCTGCGTCTGATTTGTATTGTTGTATGTCAATGAGAGATAATTTTTAGAGGGGTCCCCTACCCGCCTTATATAGCTCGGGGGGCAGGGTTACAGATCTGGAAACTAATCCTAGCCAGTTACAATTGTCATATGTGGCCGGATAAAGATTCCTATTCTAACCGACCAGGATCTTGATTGATCGCCAAATCCGCCTTGACTCCTTGCGTGGGACTCCAATCAGATTAACCGGGCCGCACGTCGTCTTTTGGTGGACCGAACCCATCGATCCGGGCCGGCCCAAGCTTAGCCATAAGGGTATAGGGGTTAATACCCCCACATAAACCAACCCCTATACCATTGACAAGTACTTACTTGGATGCAACCCACCAAGCAAAAATATAGCACAAGCCTTTAGCTAAATTTTTCAGAATTAATTCACTAATATTGCATTGTCACACCGCTTTCAACTTTGAAAATTTGCTTAGTCTTGAGCTGAATTTTTGTCCAAGTTCCATTTCTAAGCTATTAGAAATACTATCTAACAATAATATTTTTCAACAATAAATATTTCATTGCCATCTACAAAGTTTGTACTTTCAACTTTCTTTAAGTGTCACATGCATGTTTCATAGCATTTTTGCTTAATAAAAATTGGTTTTCAACCTTAAGTGACATAGCATGACTATTGAATTAACTTTCGTTTCACATTCTAGTTAATCGTTTCAAGATACAGAAATTGATCTACACACTTTATTACATGCATTAGCACATAAACATGATGCTCATGACATGTTTTAGTAAATGATTTATAGTGTAACACCGAGGGTGTTACACAAACGAGGGGCAACATCTATATTGCGTTGTCCATGCAGCCACCTATCTTCCCAAAAGAGCGTGTGAGTACCATCCCCACTATAGTGATTATGGCCATTGCAAAGAAGGCTCTAACATGCTCTGGCACCTAAATCGGAAACATGCTCCATGGCCGATGGGGCTCGGTTTTGTGCAGCCACAGCTAGCGCATTCAAAGTGCCCATCCCATGTTCTTCAAATCTGAAATGCCCGGCCCTCCAAGCTCTCGAGGGCGCATCACCTTTCCCCAAGCTACAAGGCAGTGTCCTCCTCATGCCTCTTTCCTTCCTCGCCATAGAAACCCTCTTTGGATTTTGTCTATTGCCTTTATGGCCCACTGCGGTAAGTCTACTGTAATTATCAGGTAAATGAGCATGGCAGTCATCACATACTGTACTTGTATTGCTTGTCCCACTCGGCTCAAAAGATCAGCTAATTTAATGGGTTACTTATATTATCTATCGTATAATAACAAGTAGGTTTTAGATGCAAATTTAGAGCTCTTATTTTCTCATAATGGTACTATAATAGTGTTAGATTATTATTTAGACAAAACATATTCAATTGTTGTTAATATCGATGATGATTAGAATCTAACGAATTAGTGGCTGAATATTTTTCTAATTGTTATGAGAATTTCTAGAATTTACATTTTTTCTCACCCATGTCACGAGGATCAACTAAGATTAAGAGTGACTAAAGATTACCATGGCTAAATCTTTCTGATTTTAGCGAAAATTTTAGGATTCTTTTTCTTCCAACTGGTCTCATGATGTGAGAATTAACGTGGAGAGCCTTTGAACCTCAATTAATTAGTAACAGAAAGAGGTTTTCTCCATTAGGGCAGTCCCAGCCCTCCAGCTAGGATAGTTTCCATAGCAGTAAATATCCTGGTACATAGACAAAAAATCCGATGTGATATCTTATTTAGGTATCGTTCGGTTAGCACTGTTCCCAGCCGTTTCGGGCCGGAACGTTTCCCATGCTTCGTAAATTATAGAAGGAAGCCAGTGACTAAAATCGTTCTCCACCCAACCGAACGAGGCCTTAAGGATAAGAGGAAAGAGAAGGAAAATACATGAAACCGTTTCTCAGATGGGAAACGACGTCGGCTCCTAATCGAACGCGCGAGGAAACCACCAATTCTGCGCGATGGGGAGAAACGGGTCCCCTCCGTCCGCCGCACCTCTGCCCTCAACGCCTCCGCCCGCTGCACATACGCCCGCGCCGCCTCCGCTCGCCGTGCGAAGCCCGCAGACGCGCCTGCGTGCTACGCGCCGCCCGCAGCCGTGACCCCACCGCATCCGTGACGCGGGCCTTGTCGGCCACCACGCTGCGCTCCCGCCCGAGCGCCTTGGTTGCAGCCGGGATGCGGTCCTCCTGGCCACCGCGTCGCCATCCTGGCCGAGCGCCGTGTCCGAAGCTGCGAGGAGGGCCTCGCCGGCCACCACGCTGCTCTCCTAGCCGGCTAGCCGTGCGCCCCGCCTTGCTGGCCGCGAGCACAGGTGGCACGAAGCCGTAGCAGGGACGGTTGCAAAACTCGGCTTGAGCAGCTCAGCGACGTGCTCCTCCGTCCTCCACTGCTTCGCGCTCGCTCGACGCACAGCCGCGCCCCGCGCCCGCGCACGCAACCGTTCGCCTCCGGCCTCCTGCGCTCGCCGGCGCGTAGCCGTGCCCAGCGCCCGCGCCGCCGGCTGCCCGGCCGTGCAGCTCCGACCTCCAGTCGCGCTCTACGATTGCAGCTCCGACCTCCAGTCGACCTCCATGTACGTACTACCGCACCTGCCCGCCTTCGGATAAGGACGGGAGAGAGAAGATAGAGAAGACAAACGTTGATTGGTCACGGGCAGGAGATGGCCCACGATTGTAGATTTGTAGTTTGGAGCGTTGGGTCGGCCAGTTTCGATAGATGGTTTCAAGACGACATGGTGAGGAGTTTCTGGGTTGGGACTGTTCTCAGAAAAGTTACCTAAAATATTGTATTCCTAGTGATATGTTCCTTGCCAAACGAGAGCTCTTAATTTTATCCTAGTGCTCATTTTCTGGTCACTATTTCTCATGCATGTAGGGCCTGTTTGGATTAGTTCATGGGAATCTTGTCTGGCGCAAGTGCGGCTCCCAGGCGTCGGATTTCGAGCAGCTAGGGCCAGGATGGCTGCCTGGGTGCGAGCTTGCCTGGGCAATCCAAACAGGCCGTATTATGTATACATACATCAATAGACGGAATTACAGATATACAGTTTGAATCTCTTCTTGAGTTGTTCAGATGATCTCCTTGCCATCATCAACCTCTGACGCCACCTGACCAGCAGAGGCAGCTGCCTCGGAACCATCTGCGCCAGCATTGTACCACCTCGCACAGAGCAGGTAGCAGAAGAAGTTGAGCACGCTGAGCGCGGCGAGCATCCAGTAGAAGAGGTCCAGCCTATCCTTGTTCAGGTCGTTGTCTACGAGCCAGCCACCGCCGCCGTGCCTCGCCGTGACCCTGTTCACTAGCGAGACGAGCACCGAGCTGAGGTAGAACCCGAACGCGTAGGAGCAGTACGTGAGCGCCGTGAGGAAGGCCTGCATGCCGCCGGCGCACGCCTGCTTGTAGAAGAACTCGATGAGCCCCACGGCGGTGAACATCTCGGACACGCCGAAGACGAGGAACTGCGGCACGATCCACAGCACGGACATCTGACGGCCCTCCGCGGCGGCGTCCCGGCGCCTGCGCTCGACGTCGGCCGCCGCGACCATGGAGAACGCGACGGTGCCGAGGCCGACGCCGATCCGCTGGAGCGGGGTGATCCCGGACCGGGTGCCCGTGAGGCGCTTCATGAGCGGGACGAGGAGGAGCTCGTAGGCCGGGACGAGCGCCAGCAGCATGGCGTAAGGGATGGCCTGCAGCGACGCCGGCGGGATGCGGAAGGAGCCTGACCCCGGCGGGAGCGCGGTGTCCATGGCGCTGCCCTGCTGCACCGAGAAGGTCTGCAGCTGCGCGAGCACGGTGTTGAAGACGATGGTGCACGCGAAGATGGGCGTCACGGAGAGGAGCGTCTTCGCCTGCTGCACCTGCGCCGCCGTGCACAGCCGCCACGGGCTCTCCGGCTTCGTGTTCGGCCCCTGCGGCGCTACCGGGATGCAGGCCTTGTCCAGGAACCTACAAAATTCATCATTTTCGTTCTCCCCTGTCAGAGATCACAATCAAGTTGGAGCAGCATGCATTGACAGCAACAGGTGGCTGTTTGCTGCATCGACGCTGGATTGATTTGATGCTGACCTGAATTTGTTGCTGTGGCGGAAGTTGCCGGCGAGGCGTGCTGGCTCGCAAGCTCCGGCATTGACAGAATTTGAGTTGGAAGGGCAGACTTGCTTCCTCTTGGTGAAGGCAGCGACGAAAACCTGATGAATTTTCCACGGTTATTAAAAAGTAGTAGTTTTGCACTCTGAACTGAGAAATAAATAAAGAAAGCGCGTCATCCCATAGGCGCCACTGAATATTGAGGTGCAGATATTGCTCATGTGACAGCTTAAACAAAGATGCAGTCAGTTATGTCGTTACCGTTCAGATCAAAATCACAGCTGGTCAGCTGCTTTTTTTTTTCTCGATCACACAAAAGGTTTACGCGTCATCGTATTAAGGTAGAGAAAAAGTTTGATATAACACGCCATCGGACGCCCTAGAGAGTCTGTAAAGATTTACACAAAAGCTCAGACTCTCTCCAATGTATTGTAAGCTAGGTCGTTATATTGGATAGAGGTCGACCCAAATTTGTGGCGCCGGCAAGGACTGACAGCTTGACAGTACACAAATCATTAGATCCGTTTAAACAACTTCAATCTGCAGCTTGCCGATGGGGTGTCAGACTGTCAGTTGACGCTAGTATCTCATTAGATCTGAGGGACACAAATTATACAAGGCCCTTGTACCTAGCATATCATTCCAATTCCCAAGCACCGATCGAGCTGCAGAATATAGCACGCAGGGACCGTTCAGACTGAATGGTCACAACGAACATGTACCTACTATTTCAAGGCTATCTAATCTGATCCTGAAGCACTTGGGTGATGGATATAAAATATCATCGTAGCAAGGATCAAAAAAGATCCTGCAAACTGTCTAAAGTGCACGACAAAAAAATCTTTTAGATTGATGAGTCATGTTTTGTCAGGATTCATCATGCAGGGTTTCCTATCATTTGAACCCTCAATTAACGTGACTGCTTACCATACTGAAACTCTGAAAGTGAGCTCAGCGTAGTATAATCTCACTATCTCAGTTTCGAAGTTGAGAGCAGGCTGACTCACCCTTGCAATGGGTGTGAAAATGCTGCCCCGCGGAGGCTTATTCCGGTAGAAGGCAGCGCCGGACACGAGGCAGACGAGCCCGGCCGCCATGGCGACCGCGGAGACGCCGAAGCCGACGTCCATGCCGGAGTGCGTCTGCACCCAGACCAGCGCCGTGAGCGCGACCAGCTCGCCCGCGCAGAAGCTGAAGTAGGCCGCGTTGAAGTAGGTCGGCAGCCTCCGGGCCCCGCCCGGGGTGGCGCCGTCGTCGAACTGGTCCGCGCCGTGCGCGATCATGTTGGGCTTCAGGCAGCCGCTGCCCAGCGCCACCAGGTACAGCGCCAGGAAGAAGACGGTGGACTTGAAGCCGCTGGCCTTCTCGCACCCGCCGCCGACGTCCGTGGCCATGTTGCACGGCGGCGGCTTCAGCTGCGGCAGGTGCGCTTGCAGTGACAGTAGTATGAACCCCTGGTAAAACATACGTATATTAATTTTTTTTTTTAAAAGAGTCAATTGCAAAAGTAGCTTGTGGCTATCTATGGTGCTTTCAAGTAGCCAACGACAGGTTGCCTTTCGCACGTGTAGTTGCTCGATCTACTACTTCTACTTGGAGAGTTGGAGTGGCTTTGCTAGTGGTGGCCGGCCGCGCGTGTACGAACGTACCCGGCGGCCATGCCATTGTGGCATTGTGCGTTGAATTCAACCTGGTCCCGAGAGCTTTTGGAAACCAAACAGGCCGGGAACCAAATCTCTGGTCCATCCATGAATGGCGATTGGCGCCTTTGCAGCTGCGTCCACCATAATCCAACCTCGCTCGCTTTTTAGGTGAGAGAACAATGGTCAACAACGAAGGGGATGGATGACCCTTTGGATTGGCCTGGTACACATCCATTTTTGTTCTTGCAGGGCCTGCTTATTAGTAGTTGTATTCTCTCCTTCAATTCTTTATGCAATGAAACTTGGCACATTCTTGTTCAAGTTTTATATTAAAAAATATATGTTCTCGCAAAACCACTAAAGAATGAAGTGATGGGTCAATCACAGGGCCACGGGCATGTACCTATCATTCCGTGAGACTCATCACTCATGGCCACTACATACTGCAAGCGACTGGTGCGTGAAACCGACTCTACCCAGCAGCGAGCTTAGCTAGCTAGCTAGAAATACAGAATAAGGGGGTGTTTGTTTCTCCTCTAAACTTTACTCGTTATTACATGTTTGACACATACATAGAATATTAAATATAGACTAGTTACAAAACTAATTGTACAGCTTACGATTAATTTACGAGACGAATCTTTTAAACCTAATTAATTTATGATTTGATAATGTAGTGCTACAGTAAGCATGCGCTCATGACGGATTAGTTAGGCTTAATAAATTCGTCTCGTGGAGTACCGACGGATTCTATAATTTATTTTTTTATTAGTATCCGAACATCCTATGCAACACCCTCACATAACACCTCGTAAATTTTAGTCACCGATCACTAACACCGCCTAAGGCTAGCTATTATTACTGGCACAAGCACAGCTAACAACGTACCGAGAGCTCGACGAAGCCGAAGATGAGCATGGTCCAGAAGCAGCCGAGGTAGGAGTCGGAGAGGAACCCCCCGAGGAGGGCGAGGAGGAAGATGGTGCCGACGAAGTTGGTCACCACGTTGGCCGCCTGCGACAGCGGGAAGTGCATCTCCCCGAACACGTACGTGATGAGGTTGTTCCCCACCGCCGCGATCGACATGATCTCCAACGCCTGGATGCCTGCAATACAACCAGCAGTCAGCAGTTCAGCACACGCCCACGCTAGCTAGGAGAGGCGACCAATGCCAAGAACATTGCCAACAGCCGTTCGTGCACGCACCTAGGACGAAGACGGCGGCGCGCATGCTGCCGCGCCGCCGGCCGCGCCAGTCGACGGAGACCGCCGCCTCCGGCGCCGCGCAGCTCATCTCCACATCCATTTGCTCAGCTCGCTCGATCTCTTCTCCCTCTCCGCCCGTCCGACGGAAGTCAACAACTAGTCAAGGCAAATCCGTGTGGTCGTGGTTGGTGGTGGTAGCGACTAGCGAGCTCCGCTGCGCAGGCAATGGCAGGTTATTGTCAGCTAGCCTAAGTGTGGGCTTTATTTATAGAGGAGGAAGGACGACATGGCAGGCAGTGAGGACTGATGAGGAGGCAGGCGCGCATGTGATTGGGCTGCTGCTGCTGGCCTCTGCTGCTCGGTAACCCGCTACACACGGCCTGCGCCGCGCACATACATACGCACGCACGCAGCGCCAGCGCCAGCGCCACTTCTGATTTCTGTTGAATGGACGCCGAAAGGGACGGGAGCCGGCGCGGCAGGTGGGTAGTGTAGTGCGGCCGGGCCTACCCTCCCTTTCACATCGGAATTTCGAGGTCCATACCATGCCCACCCGTAGTGCTGCCTCACTGTATGCTCCGCTCTCTGACGCCCTCGTCTCGCTGTTGGGAACAGGGGCGTAGAAAGATACATGTATACGCGCGCATATATGGCATTGGGAGAAATGTTGGATGGATCATAGGCGCGATCGAGTTTATATATTTGTTTAGTTTTCAGTGTGGTGTGCTGGTACCTGATCGCCGAGCCTGTTTCAGTTTTGCAGGTAACTGTTATTTGACTGGCATTATATTTGCACGCCGAAAGGAAAGGAAAGCAAAAGGAAGGTGTGAATTGTTGCGCTGTGTCTGGAGTTGCTTGATGAGTTTGAGCAGCTAATCCATCAGCCTGTTCGTTTCGTCGTAAACGATCGTGGATTACTTACTGCTGGCTAGTTTGGTGCGAGAGAAAAATACCGTTCCAACTTATAATCCACAATCGTATACAAGCAAACGAACATGCTGACAAGTCATCTACGTTCTACGTGTGCCCCCTCTCAAAAGAAAGTCAATGTGCGATCCAGCGGAACACGTTTACTTCTCTCGTTTTCAGGAACAGGGTCAGACAGACAGTGGCGCCAACCTAGAATTTTACTGTTTTATTTAGTGAAAAAGAAGATCGAGACATACGCATTGTACCGTTTCTTGCCTTCTTGGGAGATCGACCTGCAGCTAGCTGCAGAATTCAGCGAGTCATCTATCTATCCTTGCACGGCGAGGAATGTCAATGGCAAGAGGAGCAGGGGCCAGGGGAGCCATATGTGTGTACAGATTGGCACGCCAATCATGAATCGTATGCTCGATTCGGCAATAGTATCCTCGCTAGATTTGGCGGCGATCGAGTTGCAGCCCGCGGGTGCACTAGGCCACAGACGCTCCTGCAGACCAAGATAGCTTCCCTGTGCCACTGCCATCATGAGGATGGCCCCGGCCGGATTCGTTGCGTGCTTCTCCAAAAGACGGCGGTGATGGACCCTTGGCCTTGCTAGTACAAATCTCTTTCATCTTTGCAGCTGCATGGTCATGGACAGGGAGGAGAGTGAGCCATACGAAATCAATCTGAGGCCTTGTTTAGATTCTAAGTTTTTTCACTTTCTCTCCATCACATCAAATCTTTGAACACATGCATGGAGTATTAAATGTAGATAAAAAAATAACTAATTACACAGTTTGATTGTAAATTACGAGACGAATCTTTTAAACCTAGTTAGGACCATGATTGGATAATAATTATCAAATACAAACGAAAGTGTTATAATACCAAATACTGATTTCTAACACCCATCTAAACAAGGCCTGAGCTTCAGACTGACTCCCCACTTGCTCAAGAGGCCGTCTGCTTTTGTCTTCACCGGCAGATATCACAAAGGCATAGATTCCACCGGCACGCGCTGCTACAGTGACTGACTGGCTGGTTATTTAAAAAATAATGCAGGTGAGTGTACAAAGTGCAGACACGCTTGGTAACGGCTCAGGTGGCGGGTACTCCAGTCTATAGCTGATGTTGCATCCCAAGTTTCCGAGTCAAGGACCCGAGTTTGATTCTCTCACCGTGACACCAATTACATGCTGACTGCTGGATAAGCGTCGTCAGTTGTACAATCTGTATCGTCCTCAGATACACTGCACCTTTTATTACTGCTGCAGTGACCAGAGAAGAGAGATCACCTCAGTCTTAATCTCACGACACATGATAAGAAAAATAAATTAATCTTATAAATTCTCATAATAATTAGAAACCTCTTTGCCTTTAATTGGATGGACTCTAACCATCATCATTGTCAATAATTAACATGAGATCGATTGTATTTTCTAAAAAAAAAAATCCACCTCTGCCGCTATATAAAAAATATAAAATATACAAAATAATTTAACTAAATTTGCATCTAAATTATCAATCTCTAACATTATGAAAGATTAATACAAAGTAACCCCCAATTTGCCTTTTAATTACCCACATATGTCGTTGTTATTGCGAAAGATAATAAAAAGTAGAAAATTGCTATATTTCCGTCGACAGAAAATGTTGATTCATATCTGTTAGATTCTGGACCGTTCATTTTGTTTGAAGATTCGTGTTGTCCCTAGGGCGAACTGTCTAGCTATCGGATGACAGATTTCTTCTTTGACCAATAAAAAGATAACAGCTCATCAAAAAAAAACTGACTTTGTACTGCTAGGTTCAAAACTTTGAACGATAACATTTTAAACTTTGTATTGCAAGGTTCAAAACTCAAACGAGCGGGTTTCCAAACCCGTTAGCTGTCAATCCAAAATTCAACAGATATAAAGCCAACAAAACTGTCGACAGATTTATATGTGTATTATCTGTCAGATTTTCTTTTGGTGGGCTGTCTTCTTTTTTGATTAGCCAAAAATTTGACAGATTTGTTGTTGTCAAACCCTTTGATTTATATCATAAAAAATAACTTAATAGTAGATGTAGGTAACTAGGGGGATATTTTAGTTTTTTTTTAATAATGATAGAGTGGTAGTTAGATGCAAACTTAAGGAATTGTGTAGATTGTCTATCACAATCGCATATGAGTAATTCTATGCAGATTTAGGGTTACTGTATATTTTATGTTGTTTTTCATAATCATGGGCTATTTAAAACATAATATAATAATATCAATTGCTAGAGTCTGACGAATTAATAGTTGGATCTTTCTAGTTTTATGGATCTTTTTTCTAGTGCTTCTCGTGAGGATTAATATGGAGGATCTGATGGGAACTCTAGTTAGAATTTCTAAGGATCTATACTTTATCTAGCATAATATTTAGTTGAAACCAAAGCTTAAGCTATGTAAGGTCTTCTTGCATTCATTTCTCTCACGACATAAATCTAAATTTTAAGCTTTTGTTTATCTCATTAGTTGTTGCAATTTTTATCCATGTGTTAAGTTGAGACTACAATTTCTCTCACATCATTGTATCTTTCATTCGAAATTTCCATTAAAGAAGATTAGGTCTAGGTCCTAGGCTACATTGTTGGTTATTACCATGGTATAATCAGTCATTTGAACTTGCGACGTGACACTCGAGATGTTGCTTAAAAATTAATTGTCAATATTGATATGGTATAATGTTCCCGTCAAAACGTATTAAGTTATTTGAAATAATAATTTTGAATTTAGAGGGGTTACTTTATATCATCTTTCATAATTGCATAGGCGGGGTAGTTTTGATGCAAATTTAGGGGATATTTTATATATTTTCACAATAACAGAACCAGGTAATTTTTATAAACTGAATAGATCAATGACTATCACTGACGATGATGAGTTGAGTCTACCAAATTAGAGACTTTCAGCAGTACTTTTCAGCGAAGGAACATTATTTTCTCTCACAACAAATCAGCATCAACAGCAGCATCAACCAAATTTCAGCGAGCCAAACAGAGCCATAAGATATTTATGAGAATTTCTAGAATGTATATTTTTACCTAAACACGAGGATTAATGACATTGAGAAAAATATTTTGAACTATCTAATTAGTACTTCGAACCCTCCTGTTTTTATTTACATGTCATATTACCTTTGTCCTAAGTCAAATATTTGTATCTTTGACTATCGATTAAAAAAACTTATATAGGTTCATGACATAAGATTGATGATTTTAGATTCACTATAAGAAATACTTTTATAATATATATAATTCATATATTGTGAAACTATAAGGATCTTTTGAAATGTATAGTCAAAGATAGTAATGTTCGACTTACAACAAAGCTAATGTGACATGTAAAAAAGAACAGAAGGATTAATAGTAAGATGTTCCAAATTTGTCCACTAAATTTTAATATTTATTATGTAACTATAATAAAATGGGTTGATCCATTACCATCTCATTTCTCACCAGCTAATAATTAGTATATGTATGAGGAATTGGTTGATTCCACCAATATTCCTAGGATAAACTCATAATGCATTGTCTCACGAAGCATGGAGTGACTCCACAAACCAAACACATCTTTAAATTTGAAACTGTACAATACATTTAATCATCCAGACCTACCTAAAGTGGGTACCTAACCGGTACTAAGAAATGCAATGCGTGTGCTGCGCAAAAGAAAGAAAACAGCACGCGCTTCTTGGCGCGCAATCAGTAGTCGTGCATGATGAACTACCAGCACAGGGGTGGTCTCAAACAACGAGAGAAGCGGCCGTTCAATAGGCCAAAACAGCGGATCGCCGGCTTTGTACCGTTGTGACCGGAAAACCAGGACCAAATCTTGAAAAGGGTGTGGCGCCGCTGCGGCCTGAACCCGGTGGATGAACGAGGGGGATTGCCTGTGAGCCATTAAAAAAAAATCGTAATCTTAGTGAGTCACTGTAAAAGTTCAGCGAACTTCAGCGTCACTGTTCTAACTTTTTTTTTCCATCCATGCCACTGCCGTTAGATTAGGCTCTAACGGTGTCAAACTGTAGGGGTGAAAAGTCGAAAATACTCTTAAGTCTAAATATGTCATTAATTTTTTTAGCATCTTAACGACTTCAAATGACGAGATCTACAACTTTCTAGTTTTGAGTTTTTTCATTTGAAGTCGTTAAGATGCTAAAAAAATTAATAACATATTTAGACTTAAGAGTATTTTTGACTTTTCACACCTGCAGTTTGACACCGTTAGAGCCCAATCTGACGGCAGTGGCGTGGAGGCAAAAAAAAAAGTTAAAGCAGTGGCGCTGAAGTCCGCTGAACTTTTTCAGTGGCTCATAGGGGATTATGATATTTTTTAATGGCTCACAAGGATTTCCCCCATGAATGAGACAATGGACCACCGTCGCCGCCTTGATAGCTGGTGGGCTCCTCCAATCCTCCCCGTTGGTGATCCTGATCCTTCATCTGGTTGGCTTCACTTATAAGCCGTATTTTTTCAACCAATGAACAGTATTTTTCTCTCACAACAAATCAACCAACAGTACTTTCAGCCAAGCAAACAGGGCACTTGATCATGCATAGCTGCATGATGGGTGATCAATCAAAGAAAAAGAGTGGAATTCTCTCTTCTCCCTGTCCCTGAATTCATCGTGCGCGCGGCATAACATAGGATGTGTTTGGTTTCCTGGCCAACTTTTAGCTGGCTAGAATCTTAGTCTGGACAGACTTAGCCTGCTCCCACCAAACCAGCCCCTATTTGTTTGGTTGTCTATACTGTGTTAGTCTGGCTAGCTCCAGGGTATATTTGATTGTCTGATTTATTTTGATACAGTCACCTCTTCTCTCAATTGGTAAGTTTATCCTTCGAAAGATTTCATCGAACATGCAGCAGCAGCACGGTGTCGATCAGCGCTGAACTCACCTTCCGTTCTACATACATACAGGATGGAAGCGTAACACACCAAAGCAAAACAAGAAAGAACGGGAACGAATGAGCCTGCACGAATTCTGAATCCCAGTTGAGCTAGCTAACATCAATCTTTCGTTCTTTGAATCTCTCAGTTAACTGGGAAGTGGTGAATTGAACACAATTTCGATTCAGCAGCTAGCACTGAGATAGAATGGGGGAGCCCAAGCCCAACAGGGAGAGGAGGCTAACTACTGAATTACAGAACACAACTGAATCAACTGTAAAAAAATGTGTGCTCTTGCTCTTCAACGCCGCGTCTCTCAACTACCATCGGATTCAGAACCGACAGGTGAAACAGGGAGCGTGGCTGTGCTGTGCCGTCCGTACCGTACGTCGAGGTAGCGGTGTCTGGCCTGCTGCAGCTCGTAGACGACGCGCACTGGCACGGACCGCGGTACCGTCGACACCGCCGGCTCGGTGTCCTTGGAGCGCAGCGTTTCCGCGCCGCCGACGCCGACGCACCTGACGCTAACGAACCGTGGCGTCCTCCTCTTGGCGTTGGTGGCTGGCACGGGCACCGCAGCCCTGGCCGCAGTGGCTGTGAGCCGAGCAGGAGCAGGAGCTCGCGCGGCGCCACCGCCACGCCACAGGCTGCGAACGGAACGCGATCGATGACGGTGAGTGGTGATTGGTGAACTGCATGGGGATTGGAGGATACGGCCAGTACCCACCGCCGCATCCCCTCCCCGTCGCCCTCCGCGACGGCGGCCGCCGCGGTGTCGATCAGCGACGTCCTCTCGTACTCGCCCGTGCCCCGGTTGACCAGCTTGTACCGCACCGGCTCCTGCCCGGACACCAGCTCCAGCAGCACGACGCCGAGCTCCGGCGCCATGTACCCGCGCGTGCCCTCGATCCGCCTCCCCCGCGCTCGAATCCCCTTCCCCGCGGGCGGGCCAATACGCGGAGGAGCTCGCGGTCCTCTTCGGCATCCTCTTCCTCGGCCTGTGGGCGGTGCGGCGCTGCAGGCGGTGCGGTGAGGAACCGGAAGCAACGAGGTGGCGAACAGGACGGGAGGTGATGCGAGCGAATCACGCGGCTGGCTCTGGCCTGGCCAGGAAAGAACGGCCGACTAGACAGACTCTAGAGTAGCATATGAAACCCTATCCCGGCCGCCATGCATGAAACAAAAATAACACGTTGACAACATGTTTTCTTTCTTCCGCCACAGAAACGAAGATGAGAAAAGGCGTCGTGCTCCACACCTGCCATGGATCGTTGCGGATTTCCGCTCGTTTTATTTTACAAGTCGGCCATGATTTGATTATAATAAAAACGCCTGCTGTACGTGTGGAAAACGCGATCACAGCAAGGCCCACGTCGTCCGACGGTCCGAGTCGCTTCCCGCGCTACCTCGGCGCCCGGTCGACAAGTGGAGGCCCATCGAGTCAGTAGGAAGAAAAACTAGTTATAAATTTTAGTCATAGATTAAAAAGAGAAATCACACTTATTCATTATTATCATCATAAACCGTTGTGATTTTTTTTTTAATTTCTAGATAAAATTTGTAACTAGTCTTTCTTCCTCATATTAACTCCAAATACGATGATTTTTTTTCCTTAAATTTTCTAAAATCATGCCCTATCAAGCTACTATGTTGATTTGGTCATTCTTTTCGTTTGACAAAGTTTGAGTTCAAATTTTCAAATTTAAAAAAATAACAAGTTCTAACAAGATTTTGAAACACCAAATGATTTCAGCTGAAAAAATGATGAATACCAAAGTTGTATAACTCATCAAGATCTATAACTTTTATTTTAGTTATTTCTTCATCTAACAAAATGATAGTAAACATTGTTCATAAATCAACATGTCTCTCGTATAGTTTATGAAACTATAAGTGATATGTGGATTTATGAACAATGTTTACTAACACTTTGTTAAATGAAGAAATAATCTAAATAAAAGTTGTAGATAGTGATGAGTTCAACAACTTTTATGTTTATGACTTTTCTAGTTGAAATCATTTAAGGTTTTAAAATCTTTTTTAAAGTTGCTATTTATTAAAATTTAAAATTTGAACTGTTCAAATTTAGTCAAATAAAAATATGACCAAAATAAAAGTTGTAGATAGTGATGTGTTCAATACTCCCTCCATCCCAAATTATAAGACGTTTGACTTTTTTGACCCCAAGTTTGACTACTCGTCTTATTTAAAAAAATTTGTGCAAATATAGTCAAATTTAAGTCATTCATGAAGAATTTTTATTAATAAACCAAATCACGACAAAAGAAGTGATATTTTACACAAATTTTTGAATAAGACGAGTGGTCAAACTTGGTGTCAAAAAAGTCAAACGTCTTACAATTTGAGATGGATTGAGTAACTTTTATGTTCATGACTTTCTTATTTGAAATAATTTAAGGTTTCAAAATCTTGTTTGAAGTTGTTATTTATTGAAATTCAAAATTTAAACTTTTTAAATTTTGTCAAATGAAAAGATGACCAAAATTTAAGTTGTACATCTTGATGAGTTCTACAACTTTGATGTTTACAATATTTTCATTTTAGATCATTTTTTGTCTTAAAATTCAATTCGAAGTTCACATATTTAAATTTAAATTTTTAAATATATTTTTTATTTTACAAAATAAAATGTATCATTATATCTATATATATAAGCAAGTAATTTTTTTATGGGTACGAGAAAATATAGCAAATTATTTTTATTACATATATACATTTACACATTTATAAAAAATATGCAGAAGTAATATTTAAAAATATGCGAAAATATTTGTAGGGGCGGTTGAATCAGAAACCGCCCCTACAAATGCATTTGTAGCGGCGTCTACAAACGACTCTGGGTATATATTCCAGAGCCCGCGCCTGGCCAAAATCTCACCAAGTCTTGGGCGTCTTCTTCCTCGCGGATGCCGTCAGGCTGCCAAAAATTCTCCCGCCACCCCGGCCGCCGCCACCATCTCCGTGGCCTACCGCCGCCTTCCTCCCATAACCACCTCCGTCCCCCAGGCCTCCTCCGTGCCCCAAACGCCGCCTATCCCCAGGCCGCCACGACGGCTAGGGTTTGCGAGGGCTCGCACAGTCGGCCGACCTGCCGCCGCTCGGTCTCAGACCTTGACCTCTTACCTCGCCGACCCGTGCACGCGCTCTGACGACCTCGTCGAGGGCTAGGGTTTGTGCTCCCTCGGCCCGACCGTGCGCTGGCTGCCATCCCCGCCATCACCGTGGATCCCTCTCTGACCTAGAGCTCCAACCTCGTCGGCCCGCGCGCACGCTCTGACGACCTCGCGGGGGCTACGGTTTGTGCTCCCTAGCCTGGCCGTGCACTTTGGCTCCACCACCGGCGCTCCCTCACCAACCTCTATCTCCGACGACATCGTCAGCCCGCGTGCTCTGACCTTTCCCGATGCTCCCTCGACGACCTCGACCTCCCCCGATGCTCCCTCTCCGACCTCGAGCTTTGACTGCCACCATACCCCTTGGTATGCCCCAACCCTTCGCCTACATCTATCCCCTTCGCCTCAATTCCTACAGTGATGGGTTACTGAGGAAGAACAGAGCATGCACTTATAGTTCTTTTTCTAGTTAAACTGAAATAATTGTGTGAATGGAGGTTAGTACTATTATTGCCTGCCAAGGTTAGTACTTGTGTATTACACCATGATAAGGGTTGCAAATCCACAATAAATGCCAACCCAAGAGCATTGCAATACAATCTGTTTTCTTAATTCAAACTGATGATGAGAACTGTCTCTTAAAAGGGATAAAGCTAGGTAATGGCCAAACTAAAATTATGAACTTTTCATTAGAAATTATGAATTTATAAATGAAAAATAAAAAACACATGGCAGAATAATGGCTGCTTGAAGTTACTGGCCTAGAAAGAACCAGTATCATCTGAGTTTTTTTACTCAAAAACTAGAATTTCAAACATTATCATGATACTTAATTCTTACCATATACAAATATATAATTCAACTCATGAGACCTAATTTTTACCATATACAAAAATATAATTCATAGGAAAGAAGTATGCACGTGGAAAAAAGGAGGTGATGTCCTAGTTGAGTTGCTAGAATGTGTTTGTTTGTTTCAGTCATTTCAGAGTTTGTTTCAGATGGGATGTGAGAGGAGAAGCAGCAAGCTTGCCATCCAGGAAGTCAGCAACGTCTCTAATAGAGTTCAGAAGATTGATTGTAATCAAGCATAATAAATAAACCTAAGAATTCAGAGTCTCCTTGAACTCTTGTTCGGCAGCTTACAAACAAAAGACTCTTGTTCTCATGAGAACAGCACTGCAGGAGTTAACTGTCAGTGTGAAAAGAATAATTGCACCATATCACAAGGAATTTCTATCGGATGTTATAAATTTTAGGTTATTCAAATTTGGAAATTCCATCGAAGAAAGAAGCATACCGTTAAGCTGCCAAAATCTGTATTTTCAAACTCTATCAATCGCTTCATTAGAGTGGCTTCACACACATGCACAACAGAAACCTAAGAAACAAAAAAATATATAATCAATGTCGTTACTATAATACTCAACCATATGCCTATGTTAGACAGACAAAAAAAAACACAGGTATACACAGTGTTTTCCTAATCGCCCATTTAGCCTTTTACAATACAAGTTGATGAATAAGTTCAAGATATTTCATGAACATCTGGACTTACAATATCTGCCTTAGTGTAGTTATATCCATGAGAGAGTGCAACAATATATAATGCTGCACCACATAGTCCACTAGGCTTCCTCCCAGTCTGCAAGAGAGGCTAAGCCAGTAAGCTTATCACAGCCTTGTGAAAGATATAGGGAAGAAAAATGTAGTAAGGAACACCTGCCTGCATCCAATCTCGCTTCATGCTAGCTACAATGCGTAAAGTTGTGTCTGAGACAGCCTTATCCCTTCTAGGAAAGAGCAAACCTAAAAACGAAACCAATGTACTGTAATTTTTTTTGAAACGACAATGTACTGTAATAAAAATATGAAAATAATCAGACCCATTGTACATAAAGAGAGGAACAATTTCTGATCGATTCTAGAAGCAAGGTCTGCAAGGATACCATTAGTTATAATAAACATAACAGCACATGTAGAAATCTTTGATAACCATAACCCATGTGGCATGTAAATCATAATATTTGCACAGTATGAACCAGTCTACAAATTGTTCAATGGCGTTATTTTCAGTTAGCCATAGATGAAGGTAAGTCTCAAATTGCACTGAATGGATTAGCTGAACAAACAGAGGCAATGTCATTAATCAAAACCTGCAGACCACTCCAATGCCGATCTGATGGTAAGTAGGGTAACCCAACAGTTCAATTTTTTTAACCTAAATCACTGATTTTATTTAACTTTTGGACCAATAGGATTCCACTATCTAGATAAATATTTTTTTTTCAAAAATGACTATTTCAACAAATATTTATAAAAATAGACCCAGGTTGGAACCTTGATATTCTAGTTTCAAGATTAAAACAGTCTAGTTTCAACATACAGTGCAACAGAATATGTCATTAGCTTACGTTCTGTAAAACGATGGATGAAAATGCTGGGATCTATAAGCTTCTGAATAAATGGATGCTCTGAAAGTAGCAAAACTTGACAGAGCTGAAGAAAAACAGCACCCAGGACATAACTGAAACAAAAACCCAAGTGAGCCCCTTCATTGAGTTATACTAGATGAAGGGCCAAAGAGTTGGAATACTCACACACTTATTTGTAGATAGTCAGAGAAGTCGATAAGAAGATAGTCTTTCTTACTTTGCCTAGCAAGGAAAGAAGGTAAAACTGAACATTAGTACTACAATATAGCTTGCTGAAGCAACAAAAAATTAAAAATAATAAAAGAAAGACAAAGGTAGA